GGATTCTTTTTTGTTTTTATAATGAAGTGTTTTTGCGATTTTTTGGGTATTTGTCTAATTAGTTTGTTTAATTATTCCATTGCTCACAGAAATTAGAGAAATCTCAGTTAATTTACCCGTGAAGACAAGGAACACCTAATCTTCCGAAAATCCTAAGGCAGCCGAAAACAGCGAAAATTAGGGAGAAAATGGCTAAATAGGCTGGAAACAGCTGATCGCCGCGGTCGTGACGCGCCGCAGCCGCGTCTGCGACCCTTTGCCGCCTAATCAACTGCCCGGATGACGGGTGCATATTGAGAAGTAGCGGTGTAGCAGTAAATTCGTAAGCGGAGGAGTTACCTCCGAGGATAAACTGCTTTTCTGAAAATAACAGTGACAGTCATGCCCTTTAAACGATGGCGCTGTCACGGGGAACGTGAACTGAAGGGCTGTCTCGACAGCCCTTCCATCAATATTGCCACCCTATGTCCCAAACAGTTGGCGACTGGATCCAACTCACATTCGTTCACACGCCCTATCTTTTGCAGGGATCATGATTATAAACGTCTGGTCCCTCCCAAAAACTAGTCAATGGCTGCTAAGAAACCACTTTCAAGATTGAAAATGCAGACATGGGGAGAATGGAAACACGCTTTTGATGTGTGGCATGAAAAGAATAGTGTTTACAGATTTATCTGCATTCTCGATACTTAAAGTCCTCAGAAAATTCATCCTGAAGATGTAAACTTTAATTTCCCCGTACAGGACGTAGATGTCACCTTTTCGTGTTCTCGCATGAAGAATGACGACATGTTTGCGCTAAGTTCAGGTGTCAAGGGTTACGATTCGAAACGCGTCACTTGGTTTTTATAGCCTGATGGTGTTTGCGGACATTGAAAATAGAACGACAACAGCGATTGAAAATTGAATAATTTTTGAGCTTTTTCCTATGGTAATACAAACGCTCCCCTAGCTTGGCTGGTCCTTTATTTGTACCAGACTCGTGTGGGACTCGTGCGGAAGGACAAAACCGCCGAGTGACAAGGCAAACCCAGGAAATCTCGGTTTCCACCAGAATGAATCGTGGGCTCTGCATACAATTGGAAGAGAAAAGATAAAGCGATAGTTGAAAGAGCCAAGAGGTTAACCAAGAGTTTGGTCTCTCTCAACCCGAATAAGCTTCCCATTGTTACGGAGGGTTGGCAACGGGCCCACCTGTAAGGATGAAAGTCACCGCCGTTAGCCCATAAGTCAGTGTGTCCGAACCTCTCACAATTCACCTACTCGCCTTCCAAAAAATCCAAAAGCTTCCGAAGAATTTATATGTCATCATGACAGTGCATAGGTGGCTGTTCCCCAAAGGGCTCTGATCAAGGCTGATTGCCCCAACCTCTTCTACCATCACTTCTAAGTTGTTGTTATTTTCAATTTTGTCTTCATTTTTCGTAGTATTATTGCCGGTTCAGTAATTCACAGTGGATTTCCGGCACGACGAATAGGCAAGACCGTCACTATTGCACAAGAGGTGGAGTATGAGCAGCTTGCTTACCACCATCGCGGTCTGGGTCAAATTTCGGATCGGCTTCCAGCCTAATCAAACAAGCCTATATTCTTCAAGTGGCAATGTACCAGATTCTCCCGGTGAAAAAAAACAACCGCATAAAAACACTGAAGTGAATCACGGTTGGCCCGCGCAAGTCATTGTATGTATGTATAGCCAGAATCGCATTCAAAGGCAGTTGGTACGATAATGCAGCACTACTCCTGAAGTGCTAGCAGGGCCCTATATAGTGTGAAAATAGCGAAGAAACGAAGTGAAACGGTCAAAAACCTGCGAAGTAAAGCCTTCGTTCTCAAGGACTCAAAAAGCAATTTCGGACGAGTTTCCTGTAGGGCATCTTGCCGATAACTGCTACGGTAGGTACGAACTGCAGTATGTATCGATAATCCATCGCAGGCATCAGATCGCTTAATATCACTCCATTTTCCTCCATATTTGGCTTAGGCAAAATGACTCGCAAAGCGTCAGGAACGGTCGTCATTTGTGGCGGTGCGGCGTGGTGGGTTCGGTCAATATGTTTCTATGCTCGACAGGGCATTATAACTGGTAGCCATTGTTGGGAAAGACACTACGCAGCACCTGCTCAGGCTCGCAGAATTGCGTCCAGCCAGGCGTATTAATCCTACTCGTCTGAGGTATTTATCGTGCCAACTGCCTTTAACAAACCATTACAATTCTGATTGGGAATGCAATGTGTGGCCTATTCCAGAGTGGGGTTGATCCATGGTGAGAGTTTCATCCTGTGATTTTATTCTGCTTTTTTACTATTTTGAGATAACTTTGTGTTTTTTTGTATTTATATTACTTAACGGTTTTTTTATTTGTTCTTTTTGCTTGGATGTTTATCTGTTTTAGCCTTTTACCTGATCTGAGGCCAACCGGTGGAACCAGTTCAAATTATCACGCCGAGAAAAAAAAGCGTGACGAAAGGTCATCCACTGAATTAATCGCACCGTTTATACCGAGTATGTGAGTAACGGGGCGGGGCGCACAGATCATAGATCATTCCAAATTGTGAACTGTTACATGGGATATGGGATTTTGAAGTTCTTAAACCGCCTCTCCCGCTCTCATGTTCATTCAAATTCAAAGTTCATAAGCTCCAGATTAGATGATGCCAGGCTTTTTTGAGAACCACTTAGTGATTCAAAAAAACCATTTTAGAATGAAGACAGTGGTCCTTGTCCTCATTGTCGCTGCAGAAGTGCTCGCTGGTCCTGATGGCAATGAAGACTTTGAAGGAAGATCTTAGTGGTCTCGTTAATGCAATACCTCTCCCACCGTACTTGAAGAATGTCACCGAGGATGCTCGAAAAGAGTATTTCGGCACGGTGTTGTCCATGAATAAGACAGTAGCGCAGCTGAAGCAGAACGTCCTGGAATGGGCACAAAAGCATGGAGTTGAGGTGAGATCACTGAGCCTCTCAAGTACTACAGTTTCTGAAATCAATAGCAAAATGGGGTAGAGGTTGTACTGCAGTGATTGGCTGCTCCTACTGCTCTCAATGCTGGTAGCGGAATCCCCGGAGTTTCCCATTTCTCCAGCTAACTTGCCACTTGAATTGTCTTTGGCCAGCTCATTAACATCAGTTATGGGAGAATATGAGGTGACTGTTCATCGGTGGTTTTTCGCTGCGGACGCTGGGGCGTGTCAGGAGGGCTGAGTTTGGGGCGGCGGCAACCCAGTCAAGGGAA